AACCAGCACACCACTCCCACTGAGCTGCAAACCCACTCTCATCACGCACTTCCCGGCTCCAAGATTCGAATGAATCACTCAATCAAGAAGTGCAAAGTGTCGTCTTCCTTTGTCTCAAGGTCAGACACCGCATTCTCAGGGGCTCACCTTCTGCATCTGGGCCGCCAATGCTGCACCATTGCTGAAGCTGTGCTCTGAGGCCTCTGGCTCCGAGAGGCCGCCTCGGGGACCAGCGCTGCCGGCTAACAACGGGGTGGGCAGTGCGCCCGAGGGCTCATGCTGCTGGCTGGAGGGCCACTTCCCCTTTAACACCACGTGACAGATGTTATCTAGGCGGTTGATTATCACGCGATCCTATAAAAAAGCACACAAGCTCTGAGGAGGAAGTACTAAGTTATCCAAGTTTACAAAGTCCCTTGAAATCAAGCGGCACGTTTTCTAACCAGAAGGAGCTGATTAGAAGGGGGTGCACACGAAGGGACTCACTTTTCAAGTCTTAAAAGAAATGGCGCAGTCTGGACAATGAAGATGAAAAGCTGCAGGACTGTAAATAACGAAGATGCACTGAACACTTTGGTCTTATGGTCTAATTGTGGTCCCGATACCTTTAAAGTCATGTAACGAATATCTTTTAAAGATATTAAACATTTGTCTGAGTTGGTGACTCAGAAAGATTCTAAGAGGTTTAATATAAAGGATTCAAAAGCTGAGGATACTCTGAGTGGGGCATGCAAGCTCCGGGAGGTACCTTTGGCCACTCGGAGAATGAATAGAGCGTTTTCTCCTGGAGCAGCTGAGCAATGGTGGGAGCCCGCGCCTCTTGCAGGTCGTCCCCGAGGTCTCCCGCGACGCCCGAGGTCGAGCTCTTGCTCTCCTCCTCAGAGTACTTCCCTGGATAATCTGGGAAGAAAGGTTTTTTTTTTTTTTTTTTAAAAATGAGACAGGTAGTTGGAAGACTGGAATGATCTGAAAGATCAGGACATCTGAGCTTTATTTTTTGGCCGCACTGGACAGGCGACCTGAGTTTCCCAACCAAGGATTGGACCCACGCCCCCCACCCCCTGAATTGGAAGGCTGGCGTCTTAACCACTGGACTGCCAGGGAAGTCCCTCATCTTCCTAAACACTGGCCTATTGTATGCTTATTTATTTTAAACTGATTAATTACCATGTCTTCTATTTCCAGAAGCACTCTATCAGTTAAGCCATAAAGCCACATCCTGCTCCAAGGCTACCCAAGCAAATCATCTGATAAGAGTCTTCATCGGTAACCAAACAACACTGGATGACTGCAAAGACTTCCCCACTTGGTGTGGGTGAGAGGGAAGTGAACACTGTGCTTTGATACAGTGGCAGGGATGGCGTGGGAAATGGAACATGGCAAGAGGCTGAGATTAATGAGGGAGGAGGAAAAGTCCTGAAATTTACAATGAAGGTAAACAGACCTGATTTATGCTAAAAAATGATGCAAAGACACCTAGGACATTCAACATCACTGACAGAAACAAATGGAAATGTGACTCATTCTTTCAGTCTTCAGTGATGAAAGTTTATTATCAGCTGTAGAATGGATCTTCAGCCATCATCCGCTTCACAGTGCTGACAGGAGACGAACTGAGTGTAGGAAAAGCTGTGGGCCTCTTCCGCAGTGAGACGACGGGGCGTCCACCCTCTGCAGTGTGGAGGTCTCACTGCTGACTGTGTACCAAGTCCCCCAGGGGGCCGCAGGGACCCCTCCCCAGAAGCAGCACCTCGCCAGGCCAGGGGATTCAAGGATAAACAGGACAGTGTGGCGGCTCTGGCCTTCTAGGCTCTTAACAGCTCCACGAGGGGCAGGCAGCAGGGAAAAACACTAATAATAAACGAACAGTTTCAATTATAAACCATGGTGAGGACCATAAAGGGAAAGAAACAAGGTGCCTTGATAGGGAAGGAGGAGGAAAAAAGCTGCTGGTAGAAGGGGCCTCTCAGACAAGAGACCACCCAGGAAGAGGCAGTGGCGGGGGAGGGGTGCGCACGACTTGCTGAGCAACAAGGTGGGGGGGTCAAGTATATACAAAGATAGGGCGGCGGTGGTGGGGTGGGGGCAGGACCATCACCATCATGCTGAGCTCTTTGGCCTGGGACAGAAAATCCAAATTATTCTAGATCCAATGGGGGCGCACCCCTGTCATGTTTTAAGCAGAGAAGGTGAATTTAAATTTTGAGAAAAGAACACAGCGCAGTGTGAGAAGGAGTCAGGAAAGAAGAGGCTGGTCCCCCAGCTAGGCCAGAGACTGCTCCTTTGGGCGCAGAGAACCAGGCTGAGAGACAGGGAGGGCCCTCTTGGCCCCCACTGAGCCCACACCCCGGGTACGGAGGAACCCTTCTGGGGTCTGCCAGAGCTCCTTTAAAGCACTGGTGCAAGGGACTCCCCACCGCTGAGTGTGTGGAATGCTAACCAGAGCTTATCAAGTTCACTGCTGCCTCCCAGCGCCGCACAGCCCGGCCCCACGGCCAGAGAGGACCGAGCACCTCCTCTAACCCATTGTTGCTGGATTGCCTGTGTTCCCAGGACTGAGTAGTTGGTGATTTCCCCCATGACAGAGTTCAAAGAGCAAGGTGTACATATAGCCCCGCGTCTGGCAGGGACCCTTTGTGGCCTGGGGCGAGGAGGGTGGGCAGGTCAGGGCTGGCTCCTCCTGGGGCAGCTGAAGCCACAGGGGTGATGCTGCTCCTTGCGGTACAGCATCTCTGGCCTCAGCCTGGCTAGTGGACACACTTTAACTTGGGTTCAGAACCCTTCCCAAGAGAGTCAGCAATCACAAGGCAGAAGCCACAGGTGGGAGCTCAGAAATAAAAAGGAAGTCGGACAGCCCGGGGAGCAGAGCAGGCTCTGCTCTCTCTTTCCCACTTTAGAGCAGGGGTACCCAACATTTTTGGAGCCAGGGACCAGTTTCGTGGAGTAGTGACCTGGCGGTTGGGATGGGTGGAGGATGTTAATGCAAGCAATGGGGGTGGGGGTGGGCACGCTTGTAAAATACAGATGAAGCTTTGCTCGCCCACTGCTCGCCTCTGGCTGTGTGGCCTGAGGACCCTCAGCTTTGGAAGAAGTCACTGTTCCATGTGGGAGGGGCGGCCCGTCTGAATCCCTGTGTAATAAAACACATGGGCCCTGGCACCAGGCCAGCCGCCAACAGGGTACTCTTTTGTTTTTTTTTCTGACAAGGATAAATAAGAACTATCTTTTGTTCACCCTAATATGCCCTCTTGGGTTTGAAGACATAAAAACAACAGTGAAAAACTTAAAAACCGTTTGTTGTTGATCAGGATTTCTAATCACTATATTCATATCCACATAAAGCATATGCTAATCTCAGGTCACCTAGGTTCTTAACATTTTCAAATCCTTTCCTTACCTAAGATTTCCCTTTATCAAAAGATCAAGCCTCTTTGCCTTTTTGTTAAGTTCCATGGAATTTGGTTATTCTTTTTTTTTTTTTTTTTTTACTTAAAAAAACTATTCATTTATTTGGTTGCATTGGGTCTCAGCTGTGATACTCGAGATCTTTAGTTGCAGCATGTGGGATCTAGTTCCCTCACCAAGGATTGAACCAGAGCCCCATGCATCTAGAGCATGGAGTGTTGGCCACTGAACCACCAAGGAAGTTCCCTAATTTGGTTATTCTTATTTCTGTTGAGTTACTCAAAGGAATCTCAATACAATGCACTGACATTACAACACAGGGTTTTGACAATTAAGTTAAGTGAAAACTGCTCAGTAGTGTCAGACTCTGCAACCCCATGGACTACACAGTTCACGGAATTCTCCAGGCCGGAATACTGGAGCGGGGTAGCCTTTCCCTTCTCCAGGGGATCTTCCCAACTCAGGGATTGAACCTAGATCTCATGCATTGCAGATGGATTCTTTACCGAGCTGAGCCACCAGGGAAGCCCAAGAATACTGGAGTGGGCAGCCTATCCCATCTCCAGGGGATCTTCCCGACCCAGGAATCAAACCAGGGTCTCCTGCATTGTAGGCAGATTCTTTACCAGCTGAGCTACCGGGGAAGCCTAACCTTACTAAAGATCAGAGTTATTTTTGTGGAGTTCCTGGAAAATGACCCGCATCTCTGTTAAACTGCAGGTTCCTGGCGTTCCCTGGCTGTTCTACTTCACCCAGTTTCAGCACCCTACCTGGTGGAAGAACAAATTCTTTCCCCTCGACGTCCTATACGGCATCTCACATATACTGGCACACAGCCCCTGCCCAGACCACGCAGCTGATGCAGCCAAGGTGCTACAGTCATCCTTAGCTTTCTGGAATGATCAGATGTAAGCTACTCTGCCTCAATTTCAGAATAAGCCCTGTAGCCTTCGTGTTTAAACATATGGTGGGTGTAAGAGATCAGTTTCAGAAGTGGTAGAACTCTCACCAGCCCCTACACACTTGCCCTCCCCAGCCTGGGAGAACTGGTTCATCCAAGACACAAGATCCCACACGCGGTACCTTGACTCTGGCAGTTCCCGTCTTTATCGAACTCCTCTTTACTCTCATAATCCATGTCTTCCGGCTTGAGCTCACTCCCTTCAGGATACGGAGGAAGACCTTGGTTCCCTTCTGTGTTCTCTTTCCAGGAATCCTTCAAAAGTTCCTGCTTCACTTGGAACAGCTCGGGTGGGACAGCAGTGGGCTCACCCCTCATTGTGACATTATTGGCTTTGCTTATGAAGGGGTCTGGGGGGTAAGCCTGGGGTTTCTCCACTTCAAACTCGTCCTTCTCGAGGCCACGTGCCCACCTCTCCATGTGTTTGCAGTGACACTGACAGGCTGCGGGAAGGAAAGGGCCCTGAAGTCCAAGAGGCTGGCTTCTGGCCTCCGTGCTCCCTTTCTTGGCTTCCTCTGTGAGGAAGCCGGCCAGGCTCTGCTCCCCTGCCATGCGGGTGGTGGGCTCGCTGAGAGGCGACGCCGCCAGCCTTTCCCGCCTGCCTGCGGCCAGCTCGAGGCTTTCCTCCTCGTTTTCGTCCTCGTCCTCCTCCTCGTCGCTGTGGTTCGGACCCAAAACCAATTTGCTTTCTAAGCTTTTGCTTTCTAGTAAGTCGATTAGCTGCTGGTCAGATGACATGTTTCTTCTGGAGTCGCAGACACTCAGGTTGCACATGTCGACGAACCCGCTCTCATTCCCTGGGTCCAAAGAAGGGGAGGCGAAGCAGTTGGAGCCCAGCCGCCCGATGCTTTCAGGTCTCAGCCCGGCCTCACTGCAGCCGAGTTCCCCTTCCTTTGAAAGAGACATCAACAGGTGTTTCTCGTTTTTAATGTTCATCTGAGCTACTCCTGCTTCTAAAGTTTCCATAAAAGAGGAATCTGAGGCTATTTTTGCCTCGTGGCCCCGGGTCTGGCAGTCCCCGTCTCTGCCTGCGGAGATGGCCGCGGTGTCTTGCCTGGACTCAGTACTGGCACCCGGGCTGCCCTGAAAAGGGCCTGCCTCCTGGCTTAGCGCCTTCTTCCCGTACATCATGCTCTCCAAGGACCCAGGCAGCAGACTCTCGTCATGGGTGAGGGAAAGGACATCCTGAGTTTTAGACATGAAGCTTTCACAGGTCATGTCAGATAAGCTGCCCCTGGGCGGACCAAGGTGATCATCTCTACCTTCGATTTTCACGAGGTTCTCGGGTTCGTTTTCAAGGGACTCGGAAGTCCGGCTCATGTGCGTATAGGCCAGAGACTCATACAGTTTGGAGTTGGTCTGGTAGAGGCAACAGAGACTCTCTGGGGCCTGGGGGTCAGGTGTTTTGTGCTGGGCGTAGTTCCTGTAGGCGTCCAGGAAGGACAGCTGGGGGTCGGTCATGACGTAGTAGTCGGTGCGGTTCAGGCCGTGCTTGGCAGTGCCGATCAGCAGGTCGCGGTCGTGCTTCCCGCACTCCCACCAGACAGGCAGGTAGAGGCTGGGCCTGCATAGCTGCAGGCGCTCGTGCAGCTGAGGACATGTGAGCACCTGCTCCCGGACCTTCCGCAGCAGCTCGATGCGGTACAGTGTTCTCGCGGCCCGCTCTTCCGTGATGGGTTCCACGTAGATGCTGGGATCCAGGGGGCCTGCGAGGGAGAACACAGAGCCCGTCACTTAAGCGGGGGGGGGGGCCCCTCGGATTCCTCTGCCCACCTGAGCCCCTGCATCCTTGATCTCACAGTTTGACCATCTGGCCCTGAGCAAGGCAGGGCCTTAGTGGCCCCTCAAAGATGAAAAACTGAAACAGGAGGGAAAGATTTATGAAACTTGGACAGACCCACTGAGGGTAAAAGGACAGCAGGAACACTCCAGTTCTGGAAATATTACTTCCTGATCAGTAAGCCTGTACTAAGGGCCTTCTCACTAGATACTTTACGATGCTGTTTAGGTCTCACAAGACCTCTAGCTACACCAGCATCCCTGTGTGAGGATGAGGAAAGAGGCTCAGACAACCCGACTTGCTCAAGGTGTCTGAACCAGAATGCCAGTCTAGGTCTTGTCACGTGACTCTGAGATCCAGTCTACACAGCTCCCTGGTTTTACTGAAAACTGCCCAACTGTGCCGCCAGGGGGGCAAAAGGTGGGGTGCCGGAACATGCTGCCGTCCATCAGCCCAGAACCCATGCTGAGTAGGCTCAATGTTTGCTTCCGCTTTTTCTAGAATGTAGTACTATGGTCCAGAGTGAGTGAATCCATTACATTGAGACTGAAGCGAGGCCAGGGGGAAAGCTGGCGCAAATTCCCACTAGGAAGAAATTTCTCAGACGGGGCCTGTACTGGAGCACAGGAAGTTTAAGTGACAGGCCCATATTTTCCGTGGCTACAAGTCAACACACGAGAAAACATTTAAGATTTAGTCTAAGTGAAGTGCAGAGCTCACAGCAGGATAAATCTCTATGAGGCTAAAAAAAGAAAACAGTTCTGTGGCATTTTAATCTGAATTTCAATTTTTGGTGGAGTTACATCATTTTGGGAGAGAGATTTTATTTTATGAGGGTGGGCTCAATTAGCAGTGTGTGGGTTTGGGAAAACCCACTTGTTTTTATCTGAATTCTCCATGCAGTCTGTCTATAGCTAAAACTAAAGCAACTCTGTACCTTGAAAATAAGCTTTTACCCTCTCTGTCCCCCTGGAGAGAGAGTAACAGAGCATCCTCACCACCGTCCTTCCAGGCCGGCAGACGACAGACGCTGCGGCACATGGACACGAAGCTATAGAAATAGTGCTCCAGGCTCTCGTCCGACTTCTTGTCCAGACGGGAAATGACGCGAAACTGCGTCCAGTCAAAGGTTTTCTTCTCTTGATCGTAAATGACACCAAAGGAAGACACTGTTCTGTAGAAGTCAGCTTGCTCCCTCCTCGTCCACCTAGAGACAGAATCAGAAAGGAGAGGGAGCAGTTTTCCCTTGTGGCTTTTTTTTGTTGAAAAAAGCTTAAAACAACTACTTGCTGAGTGCCTAGTTGGAGAGTCTGTGAGGTTCACAGAGCAGGCAGAGCATATCTATTTTATTGTTTATTTTTATTTAAGTTGGGAGGAGTCACTTATAACAATAACAGCTCATTAGCCTACCACCACCTGCAAATTATGTGTGCATGCTTGCTATCTTTGGACTTATCAGTTTCAGAAATTACCCAGTTCATTTCCTCTTGTGGGAGATAAAGATTTTAATATAAAAATACTCTGTAGCCTTAAATATTCTGCCCATGACAACAGAGAATCATAGAATCCTGGAGGGATCTTTTGGACCATTAAATTCACTTCCTTCATTTTATAGATGGAGAAGCTGGTGTGGAGAGAGGCCGGGGTCTCCTCCCCTGGTCACACACCTCCCTGACTTTCATCTCACACGGGCTTTCTTCCTGGTCTTAATGTAAGTAGATGGGTGATCTTTCCTAGGACACAAAGGTTCTCTAGATTTTATACCCTGCAGGACTAAAATAATGACTTAAAGGAAATGGATTATTATTTCCCACAACAGTCTCTACCAGGAGCTCTTGTACATGGTACTTGCTACCTCCGCAGGGACTCAGCTAGGAGTGGGGTGAGGGGTCAGTGGAGGAGTGAGAATAAGGGGGGAGGGGGCTCTGGTTCTCTCTTTGGAGCCAAATGAGAGAACTTTTCTCCTTGAATTACCAAATTTCATAAAGCCAGGAATATAGAGAAGTAATTGAACTCACTATGTGGTATTTCAATTCAGTGGACATTACAGTAAAAGGATTGATATATAGAAACTTGATCCTAAAGGAAATCAGTCCTGAATATTCATTGGAAGGACTTATGCTGAAGCTGAAACTCCAATATGTTGTTCACATGATGCGAAGAGCCAACTCATTAGAAAAGACCCTGATGTTGGGAAAGATTGAAGGCAGGAGAAGAAAGGGACAACAGAGGATGAGATGGTTGGATGGCATCACTGACGCGATGGACATGAGTTAGAGCAAGCTCTGGGAGTAGGATGGACAGGGAAGCCTGGTGTGCTGCAGTCCATGGGGTTGCAAAGAGTCAGACACGACTGAGCAACTGGACTGAACTGACTCCAAGACTGAACAACTGGACTGAACTGACTCAAAGAACATGAGCTTCACTGACCCGTTCTCGTGGCCCCAGCCCCAGTCTGTGCTGACCTTCGGCTGCCGTTTTTAGCTTAATTCTTAGATGGGCAAGTACCTCCTTCCTTTCCTCAGGGCTGGCATCTTATGGTAGTCACTGCTCTCAAAGGCTTGATAAGGACTGCTGGCTACGGCAAGGCCACTTCAGTGTGTGCTATTCATTTTGCTGCTAAAAGAGTATGACCTGATGCATGTGTTTAAACCACATCCCCAGAGACTGGGGTCCTGTTCACGCAAGTCTGGGAATTGCGAAGAGAGGATGTCCTAGATCTCACTGGACTCCTGGGCCAGCACGACACTACCACTGAGGTTGGATTTAACGGCCTCTAGAGACAGCTTGACTCCACACGAGAACATCAGACACACCTGCCCTCCAGCCATCAGTGTTTCTCTGGTCACCCTGACCCAGGGGGCAGCTCAGCATGCCCTCTTTTACCTCTTTTGGGCTTCCTTGTTGATGAGCTCCATCTCTGAGGACCTCCGGAACATCTCTTCCTGGACCCAATAGCCCTGGTTTCCTAGTCCCAGGACTTCAGGCCGGCAGAGCTCCTTGCGGTTACAGCGCTGGTAAATGGTGACCAAGCGTCGGAGACGAGCAGTGAGTGCGGATGAGACCGGCCAGGGCGATTTGTCTGGGTCGGAGCCATCCTGGGCTTCAAACATCAGTGAGGATATTAGTATTTATAGACAGAATTAAGAAGACTATGGAGACTGGGCTTTTTGGTGGTGGTTGTTGTTTCCCTTCGTTTAAAGAAAACTAAAGTGGACTCTGTAACTTAGTGGAAGTAGCTGATACCTAACAGCTTGGGAGCAAGGCACAGCTGGAAAGGCTGCAATGGTACTTCAGAAACAGCTTTGGGTGTGGTGGGCTCTGTTCTCTCTCAGATACAAGTTTGTGGGGGCAGAATGGACTCGAGGGTCTTGCTCTAAGATATGAGAGGCCTTCTCTATTTAGAACTATGGGTTTTTGTGTGGCTGGGCTTTCTAAGGACCAAAGCCTGCATAAAGTCTGGATTCAGAAAAATAATTGAAAGGACAAACCAAAATACTTCTAACTTTTCTCAAAAGAGAGAAAAAAAGAAAATCAATGAAATCATGATTTCTTTTCATCCTCAGAATCCATCCTGACTTTCATTTCACTGCCAGGCAGAGGAAGCTGGCCGGAGTCACATTAAAGCTCCATGTGCGACTCCAGCAGAGTTTGGTGAAGGTCAACTTTATTGGCTTTTAAAAACAACCTCCTTAAAAAAAACAGCATTTAAAAAAAAATTACGCATGAACTCCAGGATAACTACAAATGGAGATCTTATTTCTCTTTGCCTTCAGAAGGACACAGTCTCACCTGCCCGGGTATCATCCTTCTTTTCAGCAAAAAGGCCATCACCTCCGTCACTGGAACTCTCCTAGGGATAAATGAAGTTGAGTCATCTGCAAAACTGCAGTTCAGACACCCAGTCCCTGTACAGAAGAAGTAAAGATGCACAGGCAACATCTCCTACCCAAGAACATCTCAAAGATCAAGACGGTCCCTGATGAATAAAGCTTAACTTATGCACAGTCTTCCAAGAACCACAAAGCAGTTTATTTAAAATAAGCATTGTTTTCCCCCTGGAATTCTGTGGAATGATTCTGCCTGTAGAGAGAATGAGCTTGAAGAATGATGAACTGGCATGCTCCCCCTGGCAACTACATTTTACACACACTATTTTAATTGTGAACTTAAATATTTGCTTTACCGTCGTCGCTTGCAATCTAATACTGTCATTTCATAAAATATGTGCCTGCATCGTTGGGTTTTTGCTATGGGAAAGTGTCACACTCATGTTCATTATGCTGCATGTACTTTACAGCAATCGACACTATTTTCCTAAAACACGACTGCTCCAGACGGGAGACCTGATGGTGCAAAACTCCAGGAATTTAAAATTAAAATAGCAATCTGAAGCTCAGAAGCTGAAGTGATATCACAGGCACGGAGCTTATCCAAGTCAGAGTATATGTCAAGCTGGCTCTAATGGATTCCTCTCCAAAGGCTTGCTTGGTCTCAGGAAATGAACTTCAAAGGCTCCTCACACACTAGGCATGTGGGGGTTTGGGGAAGGGCAAAGAGCGAGTGCTAGTCTTCAACTAGACTCCGTTTTTAACATAAAAATTTTTTTATTTTTTTTAATGAAGTAAAGTGGACTTAACATAATAGTATTATATTAGTTTCAGGTGTACAACATAGTGATTTGATATCTCCTTATGTTATGAAATGATCCCCACTGTGGGTGTTATCTGTCACCACACAAAGTTATTCCAATATTCCTGACTACGTTCGCCATGTGGTAGGTTCCCCCATTCACACCCCCACGACTTATTATTTTATAAACGAAAGTTGGTGCTGCTTAATCTCCTTCACATAGTTCACCTATTTTTTCCCACCTAACGTACAGTGCTTCTGACGAGCATCTTAAGACCTGACCGATAGGTGAGAGTCAGCCCAGGATTCATGACTGCCGCCATGAGTGAGCACAGGGCCAGATCAGAAGGTTTAGCAATCCACAGCCTGTTGATGGTTTTTGTGTGGCCCTCGAGTTAAGAATGGGGTTTACATTGGAGGAGGAGGAAGGGAGAGGGGAGGAGGAGGAGAAGAAAGAGGCAAAGGAGGAGATGTGATGGAAGACTCTTCTGGCCCCCAGGCCTAAGATATTTACTGTCTGGTCCTTTACAGAAAACTGGGACCCACAGCCCAGGAGAGCCGTAACCTCGGGTCAGGAGGGATGGACAGATACTGACGACTGATGATACTTAAAATCCAAACCTCTCTCCTGGGCCCTTAATACCGTGGAAGGACCTGAAAGATAAAACCTTGAGAAGGCAGAGGAGCAAGGGTTCATTTTTGTGCTGGCATAGTGATAACTGCTGACGTTACCGAGAACTACATGTCACTGTGCAAAACCCTTTACATGGCTTCTCTCCTTTAGTCATCAGAACTGCCTCCCCAGGTAGAAAGAAAGAATTAGTATCCTCATTTTACAGATGCAGAAAACAAGTTCTAGGAAGTTCTGTAAGTTGCCAAGGTCACATGGCTACCAAAGGGCAGAGCTGGATTTTGAGCACAGGAGTCTGCGAAGGGCCTACACTACAACCACTGAGCTGTCCAAAAAAAGTCTCGGCTGAAAATGTGACTCAAAGAGTGAAATATATTTAGAGCTGGGGAACACTAGTTTAATCTCTCTCCTTTGGCCATACGACATCAGTGAAGGGAGGAAGCCTCAGGCTCATCGACTGCATTCTGAAGTGTCACTTAAATGTACCATCACAGCCTTTACCACTGTTTAGGGAGTTATAAGCAAAACCCAACCAGCCATGCCTTACATCCTTTCCTGCCACTGAGAACATTTTTGAGTATCCTCACAGTATCTATGAAGACCCTTTGAATGCTGAAAGCTATAATTATAGACACTTCTAGACTGAGAAATGTTCTAGCTGGGTTCTAGTCGGGGGGTTCCTTATGCCACGTAGGTGGCTGGTGTGAGCACACCACCACACCCTGAATCCACAGGGGTAGCTCCACGCAGCAGGTGGCAGACACACTTGACACGCAGGCTTCCTTTCCAGTCTCCCTAATGCTTTCTGTTGGCCTCAGGCAAACCCTCTCAAGTCAGGAAAGCTTCTGGGATCGGTAAGTGCCTCTCTGTCTCCTGCTCTCTCCTGATGGCAGGTCCCCTCTCTGGCAATGACAGAAAGGAGTAGATTTGGATGAGCAGCAGCCAAAGTGAAAAAGATGCCATAATCTTCAACATCACCAGTTTATTACTGGGATTGCGGGAAGCACACGGGAAGTCCTGCCTCTGAAGTCTGTGGCTGAACATTTCCTGGTTTCTGCCTCTGTGAATCAACCTGAAAGAAATACTCATCTTGGAAGAAGTGTGAATCCATCACTTCAAAGTACAGGGTCCCCGTAAGACCATCCACGCACAGGCAGTGGACTGGTTCCACCCTGCAGTCTCTCCATCCTGAGCCCACCTGTGTTTGGAGTCTGATTGTCTACTGCTCTCTGACCTTGGGCAAGCTGTTTGGAGCTTGCTCAAGCTTATTTCTTTGTTTGCAAAATGGAGGCAATAGTACTTTATAGGGCGATTGTGGTCAAGCTCATTTCATTTGCAAAATAGAGATGGTAGCACTTTACAGGGTGATTGTGGGGCACAGGTAAGTGATGATGTGAACTGTTTAACTACATGCTGGCACAAGGCAAATGCCTGACACATGGCAGCTGGGACTGAGGAGCAACCCACACATGGACCCAACTGCTGGGGGACCATCCAGTATGTCTTTCGTTCAACTAAAATGTGTCCTCTAAGGATGGCTTCATGACACAGTGGAAAACAACAGCAATAACAACTAAAGTCTATGGAGACCCAGGTAAATAAGTGGGTAAGATATCATACTGAGTACTTCATATGTGTTTTTCATTCATTCAAAATGACTAAATGACCCTTTTTAGACAGAAGTTGCAGAAGAGGAGGTTGATAATCTTATCGAATATTATAAATAGTTATTATAAGTGGTGAAGATGGAATTCAAACCTGGAAGGCCTGAACCGGGATGAGGAGCTCTAACCACTGACAAGTATGGTCTCGGGCGGGTGGAGACACACCTGGCTGAATCAAATGCACTGTCACTCTCTACCAGTATCTTAGCTCCGCATGGGTGCAGGGCTGTTTCCAGATTTGAGAACAGTGGATCCCCGTGCTTGTGGCTGCTCCTCCAGGCCTCGCTGCCTCCCACCTTTGGCCTGGGTAGGGGTGTGGGTGGGGGTGGTGGCAGCCCAGACCTGCAGGCCCAGGGAACTTCCTCTAGGCACTCACAAAACCCAAGGGCCAATGCAGAGGCCACAAGTGGCCTTCCCACATTTGTTTGTCAGGAACTGTGCTCGGTTCAGGCATTCAACAGTGCAAAAAGATAGAGTCCTTATCCCTCTAGAGCTCACGTTCTGGCAGTTACGAGAGATATTAATAAATACTGGCCATGCAGCGTGATAGGGCTTCTTCCCTGGTAGCACAGCAATAAAGAATCTGGCTGTCAATGCAGGAGACACGGGTTCGATCACTGGGTCAGGAAGATCCCCTGGAGACGCATGTGGCAACCCACTCTAGTATTCTTGCCTGGGAAATCCTATGGACACAGGACCCTGGTGGGCTATGGTCCGGGATCGCAGAGTTGGACACGACTTAGCGACTAAGCAAAAACAACATGCAATGTGATAAGTGTTCTGAAACACAGTGCGAAAATCAGAAAGAGTCACCAACCCTGCCAGACCCAAATCAGGCAGGAGGAAGACACCTGAGAGGTAACTTTTGAGCTTCAGATTGAAGGACACAAGAGTTTACGAGGAGAACATAGGAGCTCTCTGTGTAGAGGTTACACGATGCAGAAAGACAGTTAAAAAGATCCCACAGCAGTTTTCATCTGTGGAAAAATCAAGCATCCTACGACCTTCATAAATTTCATGTATAAACTAGACACACATCAAATGTCATTAACAGAAAATTCAAGGATTTTACAACGGAAAGACTGCAGGATTTAGAAAAAGACGTGAGCGGAGAGACATTGCTCTTGGCTAGTATGACTTTTCTTGCAGCTCATTAAAACTATTTGATCTTCCCCCCGTCTAGAATGGGGATAAGAGTAACACCCAACTGAAAGGGAAACGTGCTTGGTAAGCCTGGAAGTACTCCAGCTACAGTCAAACATCACTATTTGAGTTCAGAGACCCCCTCAAGCTCTCAACTCCTAAGAACAGAGTCCTTGTTCAGCTCCTCACTGAAGTTTTCTTACAGTAGGATCTGACCATGTTAGGCATTAAGTTTCCCTGCAGAAGTTTTTTCCCAGGTCACTTGGCACATACCATCACCCTCCTTTACAGAGAGCACCTGCTGTAGGAAGCACTGCAGAGTGAGGACAAGACCCAGGAGTCAGGCACATGAACTTTACTATAGAGTGGCCTTCAGAGCGGGGCCTGGCATGCAGCTGGTCTGCTTCTTCACACTGGCTGTTGCTGGGAGAAGGGGTGCATACCTGAAGCTAGAATAAAAATCAACCCTGAATATTCACTGGAAGGACTGATGCTGAAGCTGATGCTCCAGTACTTTGGCCAGCTGATGTGAAGTGCTGACTCACTGGAAAAGACCCTGATGCTGGGAAAGACTGAGGGCAGGAGGAGAAGGGGGTGACAGAAAATGAGATGGTTGGATGGCATCACTGAATCAATACACATGAGTCTGACCAGGTTCGGGGAGACTGAAAAACAGGGAAACCTGGAGTGCTGCAGTCCATGGAGTCACAGTGAGTCGGACATGACTGAGCAACAACAACAACTCTTCTGACCTTGAAAAGAAACTTGATCAGGAAAAAAAAAGCCATAACATCTAGTCTGAATTCTACTGTCTAATCTGTCTAATGCAGTATCTAGTCTGAACTCTTCTATCTGTGAGAATCTGGTAAAGTCCTTTACGTTCCCGGGGGGTGAATCTCCTCAACTTTCAAATGAGGGCAGTTAACACCTGAAGCTCTTATTTCACATGGCTGAGGTGAAGATCAACAGATAAAAGTGGGAATAGTTCTTTGGAGAGAGTACTATTCAGAAAAATTTAAGATACTATTTCCATCTCTTTGATACTTGAGTTACCACCTAAAATGCAGGAGACTTTCAGGAGACATGAGTTCAATCCCTCGGTGAGGAAGATCTCCTGGAGGAGGAAACGGCAACCCACTCCCTATTCTTGCCTGAACAATCCCATGGACAAATCTATGGGGTCTCAGAAGAGGAGGACATGACGCAGTGACTAAATACCACCATGGGAAAACACATCCGACGCTCCAGACAAAAGAAATAACAGTATAAGGTAGGGAACTGAATGGCAGAGCTCAGATTTTAAGTCAAGATCAAAGCCAGCTTCCTTCTGCCAGGTCCACAGTCTGAAGCTTGAGGGTGATATGCTTCAATCCACTGCTTCTTAAATCTTAAGATATGGAAACATATCTTCAAAAAATAATTTTTTTTTTCTACTTTGGGAAAGTGATGTCTTTGTTACTGTTATAGGAATCTGAACTGATGGAAACCAAAGTAGATACCATGCTTCCAACTAGAACCAAAAGAAGAGAACCGACACTTTTTGGTTGCTGATCAGGAGAAGAGGAAAGATTATGCGGATGAGTCAGTTGAGGACAATGCTATAGTAACCTCTGGTATCCAGAATCCACAAAATCCTAACAGATTTATTTTCTCCACTCAAAGCCAGAGAAAATGTGGCTGAATAGTGCTAGGGCTCTAATAAAGTTTCGGTCTGTTTATGCAAAGTCCTAGAAGCTCATTTGTAATGTGCAATACAGATTTCTCCTTCTGGGAAGATGCATTATTTCCCTATTGCTCACTGTAAGTATAACTAAAGCTGCCCGACACTATATATAAAACACACTTAAGAAAACGCTGAAAGGTGAAGAGAAGGTAGACCAACTAGAGACTTTGGGACCTGTGGAATGACACAGTGTTGAGTTCCTTGGGTTTTCTTTTTTGCCTTATATGCCTTAGATTTGGAGGTAAAGAAGGTGGCTACCTGGAAATGACAAAAGAGTGCAGACAAAAAAAGCCTGCTTTCTCCAGTCCAGGACAAGGAAAAAGGCAGGCTAGGAATGGACACAGTGTTAAGACGCGACGTGCTACACTCCAGCCCAACAACACAAGAGCAGACAGTGGCTTACCACATCCACACCAGCAAAGGCTGGTGGGGACTCTAGACTTCTGCCTTTGCCAGGTTGCACCAGGGCACCCAGTTCCCCTGCTGGGTGGTGTCAAAAAGTCAAGTAGGGAGCTTGGATTTTCATCCCTGACAGCTGGCAATGAGGTCCCCAACCACCCATGGTATCAGCAAAGACCACATGGAGAGCTGAACTTCCATCCTGCCCCCAGGTATCTTTGGGGGCTGATTAGGAACATTAACCTCTAAGACAGCCAGGCAGTCAAAAGGTGATACACGCTGTGCACTACCCCCACCTCCCCCACATCCTCTGCGATAGAGGTGTCAGAGGCAGTCAAGTCACGACAGAAGTTTCAAATAAGAGCCCAAGTCTCTAATACCCCAAATGTCCAGGTTTCAGTCAAAAATCACTTATCATACCAAGAACCAGGAAGATCTCAAACTGAATAAAGACAGCCAGCCAACAGATGCTAATGCTGAAATGACAGAGATCTTAAGTATTACCTGACATAAAAATCTAAAGCAGTCATCAATGAGGAATTCTGAACACACTCCAGAAGATCTCAGCAAAGAAACAAAGCTCCAAAGAAGAACCAAAGGGAAATTTTAGATTTGAAAAATACAATGATGAAACCAAACTGAACAAAAACACAATGGATGTGCTCAACCGCAGAAGGGAGGAGAAAGAGGAAAGAATCAGCAAACTCAAAGAGGGAAAAATATAAAGTACCCAGCGTGACCACCGGAGAGGAACAGATTAAAGACAGTTAAAACAGGGCCTCCGGGACCAGTGGGACTGTAACAAGAGACTTGACATGCATGTCATCAGAGTTCTGGAAGGAAGGAGAAAGGGTTCCAAGAAATAATGGTCGAAAACTCCCCAAATTTGGCAAAGGACATGGATTTGGAAAATCCACAGATTTGAGAAGCTGAAAACACACCAACAGGATAAACTCAAAGAATCCACATATAAAAAATTCAGAGTTAAACTTCTGAGAACTAAAAATAAGGAGAAAAGCCTTGAAAGCAGCAAAAGAGAAAAGAGACCTTAACTAATTGAAAAACAACTCAAGTAACAGAAGATTTCTCATCAGAAACCATGGAAGTCAGAAGGAGGTGGCACAACATTTTCAAGAGCTGAAAGAAAAAAATGTGTCTACCCAGAATCCTATATGCAGTGAAAATATCCTTCAGGAATGAAGAGGATATCAAGATATCCCCAGATGAAAGAAAACTAAGAGAATCATCACCAGCAGATCTATCCTAAAAGAATGGCTCAAGGAATTTCTCCCAACAGAAAAAAGAAATCTTGGAACATCAGGAAGAAGAACACAGTAAGTAAATGTATGGGTAAAAACAGTAGATGTTCCTTATCCTTTTGAATTTTCTCAATTATATTTCATAGTTGCAGCAAAAATTACATTATCATTATTCTCAGTGTATGTAGGAGAAATATTTAAGACCATTATAAAGGGAAAAAACTAGAAGTAAGGATAAACTCCAGTAAGGATTCTATACTTCACCTGAACTGGTAAAATGATACCAGTGAACTCTGATACATTATGTACATGTAGTAAAATATCTAAAATAACCACTAAGAAGCTTAAAAATAGATAAGTCAAAAAAGGATCAGAAAAAAATTTCCAGTAAACCAGAGGAAAGAGGAAAAAGAAACTAGAGAATCAAAACACAGAGAAAACAATAAAATGTCAGACTTAAGCCTTAATGCATCAATAATAACATTGCATGTAAATAGCTGGCTATATCAACTATAAAACAGGGTGCCTTAAAATATATAACCTGACTAAACACTGTCTACAGGAAACTCATTTCAAATAAGCAGGTTAAAAGTTAAACAATGGAAAAAGTGACAATCGTGCAAACATTAGTCAAAGGAAACCAGCAGTAGCTATCTTAATATTAGATAAAGTATACTTCAGAACCAAAAAAAAAAAAAAAAATATCAGACAAGGAGGGGCATTCTATATTGACAGCAGAGTCAACCCACCAAAAAGACATATCCTAAATGTGCATGCACCAGACAACAGAGCTGCAAAACACATGAGACAAAAACTGACAGAAGACTGAAAGGAGAAAGACATAAATCCATAATTACAGTTGCAGTCAAACTAGAAATAAACAGAAAGATTAGGAAAATCTCCAAATGCTTAGAAATTAAATAATACACATCTGATCAATCATCTATGGGCCCAAGGAAAAGTCTCAGGGGAAAAATTTTTTAAATACATTGTTCTGAATGAAAATGGAAGCAAGAAATTTTACCATTTATAGTAAATAGAGCATAGCTAAAGTAATGCAGAG